GGGCCCACCTGGGTAATGCAGGCTTATCACTCTTTGTGGTCTTGAACCTAATCACTTCTGCAAAGTCCCCTTTACCTTGGAAGATAAAAAGTTCCCAGATTCTGGGAATCTGGGGTGACATTTTATAATGCGGAGGTCATTATTCTGCCTACCACACTCATGGTGAGGAAAATTTCTCCCTTTTCAATTCTCTTCTGATCCCTTTGCCTTCTCCAAGGAGAAAGCCCTTGGCCAGCGTTTCATCCCTCTCCTAACACTTGCTTGTCTCACCTTCTTACAAAGAGCGAGCAGATTCAGGCCTGTGCTGCCTCAACTTTGCTCATCTGTAAAATGGGGATGATTACCGTGGGGACTGAATGAGAACACAGGTAAGAAATCAGGCTGTACTCAGCACAGTGTCAACTTTAGATAAAGGCTAATTTTTCTCCTCCTAATTTTGGCAAAGTTATACTGATTACTGATGATCCATTTCCAGAAGTCATTATGGAATTTATCTTTAAAATAAATTCATTAAGGAAAAAAAAGCTTGGAGAGCCAATTTAAAAATTAAGCACATCAAACTATATGCACTGCACAAAGATGGCAAATCAGGAATGTGCGCCTCCGCACTGTGTGGCTGTGACAGGGTCCCGCACACCCCAGAAATGCTACTCTGGAGATAGTCAATTGGTATTTGCTGAATAAGGGAAGAAATTACTGCCAAGCCCCATTTCAGAGGGCTTTCCTGCACTGTCTCCTTCAGTGCTTGCAACAGCACTCTGAGGGAGGTAAACCTGGTTATCCCCATTCTCCAGAGGAGCGAGCAGAGGCTCGGAGATTAAGCAATGGCAAGGCACTCGGAAAACATGACCGGAGGTGTTGGATTCTAATTCTGTCTAGTCCAGCTGCTGTTTGGCTGACTTCTAAGACATTTTGCCCCGTTGACGATCCAGTTCCTACTATTTCCATCACAGTGGAATGAAAGTTCCTGTTTCATTTGCTGTTCATTTTGGTAACTTGCCCGCTTAGAGGGGCTCGGAAATCCTTGGCCTCTGCTCCAAAAGGTCACAGGATCCCTGCCCTCAGCTCCCTGCTTTTAAATCGATGGCCACCAGAGGGCGGTATTTATCTGTTTCTCCAGCCTCAAGCTCACCCAGAAGCCAAAAAGCAGAGAAGAGAGCACCAAGATCAGAGTCACCCTGGCAGACGTCTGGACCAGACTTCCTAAAAGCCCATACCTGCCACAGAGAGGCTGGCCCCCAGGCAAGCCTCTGCGTAATCTGAGACGCAGCTCTCGTGAGCAGGAAAGGAAGCCCAGATGACAGCCTATTTCCTCACGCACTCCTCTACTCCCTGAAAGTCCAGGCCAGTGTTGGAGGCCCTGGCCAGCCATGGTCTAGAGAGGGCCTGTCCACTTTCACCTTTCCTGTAGGCCTTGAGCTGCCTTGGGCTTCTGGACCCGGCAATGGATACAGCTGACCACTGGGCACATACCCGACACCAGAGGAGGGGCAGGCCTCTCCTTTTTCCCAGACATCACCCCAAATGGCAGGCCTAACCCTGTGACCAGGTGTGGAAGGGCATGAGAGGCTGTGATCAGCAGCCACAGGATTCATAGGCTGCACGTGGGCCAGGCCTACTAAGACAAGCCAGGCTCTCTCTGGTCTCTAAGGGAAGGAAGCAAGGCCCAGGTACAACAGGGAGACTCAGGTGAGCTTCCTCAAAAAAAAAAAAAAAAAAAAAAAAAAAGCCACTGTAGAAGGAGACCCCAGCAATAGGAAAAGGATAGATGAGGGGTTTGGGAGATGAGCTCCTAACTAGGTTGGCTGTGAACTTGTCGTGTGATTTGAGTGTCATGTGACACTCAGGCTTTCTGCAGCCCGTCTCCTGACCCAGCTGTAGAGGAGAGCAGACAGCCTGGCAGGGGCATTCCCTGGGAGGCAGCCCCTCCAGCTGGCACAGTAAGCAACCTCTTCTTCCACCTCAAGGACACATGGGGTCTGGAGAAGTTGCATGGGGAGAAGGAAGTAGAGGCAGGAGGGTGGGAAGCTGGCTGCACGAGTTCAGGAGAGGGGATGGGAAGGGAGCTCATCCTCAGCTGCAGATGGCAGGGCCTGGCTGTACAGTTGGTGTCTGCACTGAGTATCCCTCCCCCGGTTCCTTCTTTGTGACCTCGCTTGCCCCACAGCCCCTGCCCACAGGCTGCTGAAAGGGAACAACTGATCCACAAGGGAGTGAACTCGGTGATGAATTGTACATATCAAATGTATATTGACCATAGTGTATGATGACTAATATTTATTGAGTGCTTCTCCATGCACCATGTAAAATGATTTATAATGGTTACATTGATTACCTCAGTGACAGCAACCACATGGGTTAAGTGGGATCATTCCCATTTTCACTAGAGAAAACAGGCTGAGATAAATCAAATCACTTGTCAAGATTTGCACAGTTAGCGCTTAAGCTGGGATTCAGACCCAGGTCCTCCTGGTCTCAGAGCCCATGTCTGTTATAACTCCACTGTATTGCCTCTTGCTGGCCTCTACCTTAAATCCCAAAGTAAATCACCTGTGTGCTTGACTTTACTAATTTAAATCAGAAACTGAAAAACAACAACAAAAATCACATCCAATTCTCCATCCAGAAATAATAATTTGCAGTTTGGTATTTATATTATAAATACATGCATGAAGATAAATTTTTACCATAAAATGGCATTTTACAGCCTATTCCGTTAAATAATGCTATTAGAATATAATATCTTTGCAGATCACTAAATATTCTACAATCTGTTTTTTTTTTTTATAGATTCATAAGATTTCTTCATTGGCATGATACCCAATTTATTTACCTACTCCCCTATTGTTGGACATTCGGGTTAGTTCCAGTTTGTTGTAGTATGAATAACACTGTGGTGAATACCTCCGAAGATAATTCATTTAATTCTGTAGGATGAATTATCAGAAGTGGAGTTACCAGGTTCCTTGTCAGGCCTGGGGTCTATATTGGTGTCTCTAATGTAACTGTTTCTTGAAAAGTCACGGCCCTGCTCTCAGCAAGCCAGGCCTGGCAGAGAAACTCTAAACGAAGATGGCACCTCTTTTGTGTTTCTCTTCTGAAAGAAAGTACAGAGTGTGCCTACCCCATGCCTCACCTGGGCAGTCTGGCCCTTTTGAAGTCACTTCATTCACTGTTCCCTGGTGGGGCCAGGTGGTTTCTTGGGACCTGGGAGGACCCCTCCCACCCAGTTTCCTGAACTCATCCTCTGGGCACCGAAGCACTGCAGATGGGATGCGTTCCACGGCACTCAGGCTTCCTGCAGCCTGTCTCCTGACCCAGCTGTAGAGGAGAGCAGACAGCCCGGCAGGGGTGGTTCCCTGAGGGGCAGCCCCTCCAGCTGGCACAGTAAGCCACCTCCTTCTTCCACCCCAAGGACCCATGCAGTCTAGAGGGAGTGAGAGGAAGTTGAATGGGGAGAAGGAAGTAGAGGCAGGAGGGTAGGAGGCAGGTGGTGGCCACAGAAGCTGGCTGCAACTTTCTTCCAATCTGCTGATCTGAGGGAGAGAAGTACTCGGGCTGGTACTAAAGCCTGCTCAGGGACAGCTGCCCACCCTCTGAGAAGGGGTCCACCCCCTGCCCCCCATGCTGAGGGCCTGCCTGGGATGAAGGGAGGTTGGGGCAAGTCACCTCCAAACTTCAGGAGGAACAGAGCCCAGAGAGGAGAGGGACTGGCCATAAGCACGGAGAAGTGGGGAACTGGCGTTCCTGATTCTAGAGCCAGAGGCAGAGAAGGTGTGAGGGGAATGGCCAGTTGAGGAGTTGGGGGCTCTCCTGCAGGCCTCAGCTCCCGGCCCCGACAAGCTGAAACACGAAAGAGCTTTGATCAGATAGAGGCCTGGGGGCCAGAAAGAAACTTGCAGAGTGCAAGTTGTCTCTCATTTTTCCCTGAAGCCCATTCACATTCTCTTCCGTCACTATCTTGATGGGCCCCGCTGCTCCTCCAGGAGAATCCCCAGGCCTGTCCATGGCCCTTGTCAGCCTGCCTGCAGTGTGTGTGTGTGTGTGTGTGTGTGTGTGTGTGTGTGTGTGTGTGTGTCTGTGTGCGCAAGGGGGTGCCTATAACCAACTGGCTGGCCTTTTGCAACCTGGCCATAGGCCAGGTTCCTCTTTGCTCTTCTGATTCTTCAGAGCCAGGTTCTTTCCTGGAAACTCCAGAAAGTCTGTCTTCACTTCAGACGACCCAAAGATGTGGATTCCGATAAAGTGCATATCCAGCCTGGGTGAGAGGGCAGAGAATGAGGGGATCAGGATGGGCAAGGAGAGGGAATTGAGAAGTTGAATGAGGGACGATGCAGAGGGAATGAGACACAGAGGAAATGAGAGGTGGAGACAGGAGGCAAAGGGAGTGGAGGAGAAGCAAACGGACAGGAGGTGAGCATGAGGAGACAAAGTAGGAGGAGACAGAAACAAACTCAGAGGGAGAGAGAGAGGGAAGGGAGGGAGGGAGGGAGGGAGAGAGGGAGGGAGGGAGAGGTGGCCAGAACAGTGCTTAGAAAAGAAACAGTCAGGGGAAGGCAGAGGAAGAACAGGAAAAGGGAATGTGACAGCAAGAAGGCAAGTAAGAGAAGGAGCTGCAGAGGGGAGGGCCAGGGTGGGAGAAGCGGGAGAAGGGGCCCGAAAGGGGAGAAGGAGAGATCCGGGAGGGAGAGAGAATGAGGGGGGTACCAAGTGAGGAGAAAGACAGGGGAGAAAAGGGGGAAACCGGAAAGGAACTGGCAAGAGAGGGAGAGGGAAGAGGGGCGCCCTGGGCACTGTGGGCATCAGCTCCGCCCCGGTCTGAGCAGGCGCAGTGGGCCAGGCCCGGAGGCCCCCTCCCGGGGCGGGCTCGCAGGGCTGCGGGAGCAGGGGCGGGCCTGCGGCAGGTGGCCGCCCCGGGGTGGGGCCCGCAGGCCAGGCCCACAGGGCTATAAGTGGGAGGCCGGCCAGCCGAGCACCTGTCAGGGACAGCTCCCCGGGCAGGTGCCAGGCAGGTGGCTCCGGCCGAGCCCAGCCCCAGCATGAGCGCCTTCGACCTCCCGGCGCCCTCCCCACCTCGCTGCAGCCCCCAGTTCCCCAGCATCGGCCAGGAGCCCCCCGAGATGAGCCTTTACTATGAGAACTTCTTCCACCCCCAGGGCGTGCCCAGCCCTCAGCGGCCCCCCTCCCTCGAGGGGGGCGGCGAGTACGGGGCCACCCCCAACCCCTACCTGTGGCTCAACGGGCCTGCCATGACTCCGCCACCCTACCTGCCCGGCACCAACGCCAGCCCCTTCCTGCCCCAGGCCTACGGTGTGCAGAGGCAGCTGCTGCCCGGCGTGTCTGGGCTGGGGGGCGGCGACCTGGGCTGGCTGCCCATCCCCTCGCAGGAGGAGCTGATGAAGCTGGTGCGGCCCCCCTATTCCTACTCGGCTCTCATTGCCATGGCCATCCACGGGGCGCCCGACAAGCGCCTCACCCTCAGCCAGATCTACCAGTACGTGGCCGACAACTTCCCCTTCTACAATAAGAGCAAGGCCGGCTGGCAAAACTCCATCCGCCACAACCTGTCTCTCAATGACTGCTTCAAGAAGGTGCCCCGCGATGAGGACGACCCGGGTAAGGGGGCTGCGGGTGCGGGCAGGGGGGCGCCGGGGGAGCAGCCTCTGATGCCCCCAGGGAAGGCTCATGTCATTCCCTCCCAGCACCCTATTCTGAAAGCTCTGATGTGGCTGTGGCCCCCGAGACAGGGGCCTGAGGGTTGTCAGGGGTGAAGGAGGCTGTGAGATAGAGCCCTGGAGGCAGGTTCAGGTTTTGTGTTTTTGTTTTTCAAAGATTTTATTTATTTATTCGTGAGAGAAACAGAGAGAGAGAGAGAGAGAGAGAGACAGAGGCAGAGACACAGGCAGAGGGAGAAACAGCCTCCACGCAGGGAGCCCGACGTGGGACTCGATCCCCGGTCTCCAGGATCAGGCCCTGGGCTGAAGGCAGCGCTAAACCGCTGAGCCACCCGGGCTGCTGTCCATACAAGATTCAGGTTTTGATCCTGGCTGAATCACTGACTAGTCAGCAACTTCAGGCATTTTAGATTTCTGAGTCTCAGTTTCCCCATCTGAAAAATAGGGATGGTAAGACTGGCTCCTTTGCAGGCCTGTGATGGGGGTCATGTGTGAATGCACACAGGGGTTTGGGTGCTAAGAAGTGCCCAATCGTCTACAGTAATTGTTAGGATCACACTGAGTCCCCAGTACCCCGCTCATACCAAGTCCTCAGGGTGAGTTGGACTAGGCAAAGCTCAAGTACACCCTCAGCCTTCTGGGGAGAGATCTGACTGTTAAACACGCACGAAGGGCCACATTGTGCTGCCTGCTGTAGTTACATAATCTTTAACTCCTCCTTGCAGGTAGCTCTTACTAAACCCATTGTCCTGATGAAGGGAGTATCACTCAGAGGTGAAGCAGCCCGCCCACGGTGACACAGAATGGAGGGATAGCCACGGAGCCCGTGTCTGAGCGGCGGTCTCTCTAATACCAAAGACTGTGAACTCTTCCTTTTTAACGATGATTTTTATAAAATGCAGGGACATACAGAAAGTAATATATTAAATACTCAGTAATGCATTTCCCAGAATTAAAGTCCATTCTTGTTCCCCCATGGGAAGCCAGGGTATGGCTCAGAGCCCCACCTCTGCCCACTAGGAGGCTAGCAGGGCCAGGGCTACTGGATCCTCCAGGGAAGGGCAAGTGTCCAGTCCAATGACTGGCGTCACCCACAGGCCGAGCTCAGGCCTTACCTCCGAATGGCACCTCATGGTGACAAAGCCCACCTACATATCTAGCATTAGCCCTTTGTCACGGTCAGTCTGAGGATGAAAGGACCAGTACAACTGGCCCACGTTTCAGACTAGGAAACTGAGGCTAGCTCAGAGCAAAGCCAGGACTCAAGTCCATCCTTGACTCCTTGCCCCAAATTTTCAGGGAGCCCTGAAGTGTTTCCTGAGTGTCCTTTCACGTCAGCCATGGAAGCAGGCCCTCCGTCTCCATTCCCCCAGTACCCGAACTTCTTCTAGAGGCTGCAGTATGAATACTTTCATGGCTTATGCCTCTATGCCCCAGAGCGCCCCGTCGTGAGGTGGGAGCTGAAATAAGGATCCGTGCCAGGTGGGGTGTGGATGGTGTGTGTGATTCCTGTTTCTCTCCCCCTGCCCTCTGACTTCTGCGTGTATTTCCTTGGTGTTCAGTTTATGACAACCCAGAGAAACAGGAGCAAAGCATTTTGTCCATCTCTCCTCTTACTCCTCCCACTTTTGCACCAGGCAAAGGGAATTACTGGACCTTGGACCCCAACTGCGAGAAGATGTTCGATAATGGAAATTTCCGCAGGAAGAGGAAGAGGAAATCGGATGTTTCCTCCAGTGCGGGATCCCTGGCCTCTGAGAAGACAGAGAGCAGCCTCCTGGCGGGCAGCCCCAAGACGACAGAGGCCCAGGACATCTTGGACAGTGCCTCCCCAGGGACCGCCAGCCCCCCGGAGAAGCAGTCCTCGCCTCCCCCACCCGGCACCCCATGCCTCAACAGCTTCCTCTCCTCCATGACCTCCTATGTGAGCGGGTCGAGCCCAGTGAGCCGCCCTGTGGCAACACCAGGACTGAGCCCTGAGCCCACTGACAAAACGGGGCAGAACTTGCTGAACTTCAGCTCCTACACCCCACTCACCAACCTCAGCAGCCATGGGGGTGGGGGCGAATGGGCCAACCCCATGCCCGCCAACACTCTCAGCTACGGGGGCTCTGTCCTCAACCAGTTCAGCCCTCATTTCTACAACAGCATCAACACAAACAGTGTCCTCTACCCCAGGGAGGGCACTGATGTCTAGCTCAGCTCCCGAACCAGACGGACATGCAGAGGAGTAAAGCACTTGAGACCTCCCAAGCAGGTACCATTGGGATCCAAGGCCTCCGACCTGCCCAGATATATACACAGGAAGCTCAGAGGAACTCATCTTTTTTCTAGGACGTTGTATAAACCTTCTGTTTATCTCACATATGTCCACGCACACACTCATCAGCTCTGCAGTGGAAATACTGATGCCTGATAGCAGTAATCATGGCGGCCATTTGTTGAGTTCTTACCCTGTGCCAGGTGCTGTCCTAGATTATGTCCTCTTCAGAGACATAATCATCCTTACTATTTACAGTCACGCTGTGAGGTTCCAATGAACCTCTTCATTTAACAGATGAGGAAACTGAGGCTCCAAGAAGTTAGGTAACTTTCCCAGGATCTCACAAACTAGTAAGTGGCAGAGCCATGAATCAAGTCTAGGTCTATCTGACCCCCAAAGTTTGGGCCAACAGAGGCAGGGATGGGGCAATTGGTCGAGCAGCTAAGAAAGGTCTGTATGAAAGCACGCCAATCCTCTACCTTCTGGCTGTCCATCAAAATTTAGCCCTAGCCCCAGGCACATCTTATCCTGGTCCAAGTCCTTATTCTGTGGCTCCCGATTTACTTGCAGACATTTCTTTTGCTGACACTCAAGGAGGGAAGCCCAGGCCCAGGCCCCTGAAGGATAGTGGGTCCCACCTCTCCCCACAGAGGGACATTTCCCAGTCCCAGAGACTGTGAGCAGGGCTGGGAGAGGAGTGCTACACTGCGTACCCCTACCCCAGCACTGTCCATCCGCAAAATCTTGTAAAGCCCAGCTTCCTGTGTGCACGTCATGGACCAGTGAGCTGAAAGTGGCTGAGTCTTCCAAGAGAAACAAGGCTGAATGAGCACTTCCTTTTTTATAGTCTGGGAGAGAGGAGTGTGGAAGAAAACAATGCCTCAAAGGAGGGGTTGTAGCCCACTGCACAGGGCACCATGCCTACAGCTCCCAAGACTTTTTTCTTGTTTTTATATGTACTTTACATGCCTGTGATGTGTCATCCCAGCGCATCCTGGGAAGTGTTTTTGTGTTCTTATTTTCTTTTTAATTAAAAAGTCTAAAAAACACATATGTGTCCCTTCCTTGTGAGTTTTCCTGTCTTTTAGCTGCTGGTCAATTAACCATGGAGCCAAATACAGCCTGGAGCCAAGGGCTTTTGGGAAGGGAGGCAGAGAAAGAATGGGTATCAAAGCTTTTGTCTTCCTCCCTACTGACGTGGAGACAGGACAAAGGTTCCCAGTGTAAAGAGGGACACTTGCAGGGATGGTGTAGGTGCATGAAGGAACCTGTCTATATTGAACCCCAAATAGGGACTGTCATGTCCCAGTCTTTATAGCTCAAGCAACCCTTAGAGCTGTGCTATGTAATCCCCCTAGCAATCCTGTGAACGGAGTGGTGTTGGTCCCATCATGCAGAGGAGAAAACTGAGGATCAGAGTGGTTGAACCACTTGCCTGGTGTGTGCAGCCAGTGCATGCCCAGGGCGTCTGAGTGCTGCCCCTCGGGCATGGCTATGCCTAGCAGCAATGACAATGGGACTGTTGGCTACTATTCACTGAGGGCTGTGGACAGGCACCAGGCCAAGTGTTCTGCAGGTGGGAGCTCTTTTATGCTTAGAGCAACCCGTGTGTGTACATTGTGATTCCCTGGGCTGCTGGCACAATGCACTTGTGCATAGCAACGGGAGGCTGCTAGTTGGAGTTTCCCCCTGGGGCGTGCATGCAGAGGGCTCAAGCCAGTGTCCCCTGGCCCCTTGCACATGCCATGTGAAGCTGCAAAGCTGCCCACTAAGACTCTAGCAGGGGCTCACTTTGCCTGGAGTAACGGAGGTCAGATGGAAACAGTCACGATGACAATAATAGTAACACTCATTGCAGGTTTACTATGTGTTTGGTGCAGTGTTAGGGCTTTGGCCTTCTTTATGGCATTTAATCCTCAAAATGACCCAGTGCCACCAATTGTATTATCTCCACTTTAGAGGTGAGAAAACTGAGGCTTGGAGAGACTGCAACTTGATCCAGGACACACAGCCAGAATCCAAATGATGCAGAGCTGCTGCTGCTGTGGCTGAACCTCTTGCCCACTGCACCTAGTGATGGAAGCCCAGGACTCACCACAAAAGCAAAATCAGGAAAGTCAGGGAGTGAAATGCAGGCCTCCTTAGCAACCCCTCAGATCCTTTCCTGGGGAATCCTTCTCTGCAGAAGCCAGGCTTCTGGCAGCAGAAGCCAGTGGTGGTGGCTGAGGGAAGTGACACTGTGTCAGCTGGTAAAAGCCTTGATAACTCAGAATAGGCTGAGCCCTTCTTGCACAGACAGAAAATATGAAGCTGGGGCAAGAAGGGACTTCACAAATGTCTCCAGGGAGCTGGGGCAGAGGCAGAGTTGACTTGTAGGTTGTAAAGCCCTGACCAGGATTTTTCGTCCCTCTAGATTCTACTGCCACCAAGTTTGCCTCAACTGACCCTGCAAGTCCACTCTCCATACTGATATGGCACTCCTGCTCCCCAGGCCCTGCCCCTTCCCCGGCAGGCCTGCCATGGGTACAGACTAGGCAAGGCATGGGGTGGGAAGGGGCCCAGAGACCCCAGCCTGGCTGGGGGAAGTACGGGTGGCATAGAATCGAGGCCACAGCACTCAAATCTCCATTCCTCTTCAGCCTGGGGTCTAGTGGAAATAGCAGTGAACAGAATGTCTGCAGGGCCGTGACAACACAAAGACTTTGCCAGCTCGGCACTGTGACTGTTAAGTGCGGTGAGTTCCTGGTGGCAGGCCAGGAGCTTACAGGAAAGGACATTCCAGAGGCCTAGGTCAAGAGGAGGACGTCCTGGTCAGCTTACACAGGTGACTTCTTACCCCTCTTTTGGTTCTCTTCCTCTGAGAAGAAATGAGAGCAGGAGAGAGGGGGCAAGGAAGAGATGAATGAAGGACTGGTTATCCACCAAGCATTCAACCCAAACCTGTGCGCAGCACTCTGGCTGGATGCTGCCTTATTATGCCCTATAGTCTGGCTCTTCATTAATCACATGGCCGCCAACACCAACAGAAGGTCTTAGAAGAGAGCTTGCTGTGTGTTGCACAGTCCAGGAAGGCTGCATGGAAGAGGTGGGACTAGAGCCAAGAATTAAAGGACTACTTCAGTTCTCCCATGCTTATGCTCCCAAGCTCCCAAATTGAAAGGGGAGTCGAGGAGTGGCTAATGTCTATTAAGCAGTTATTATGTGGCCAGTGCCATTGGGATTTGGGGATTTAATAGTGAGCAATACACAGGTCCACCCTAAAGGGGCCCCAGGACTGGCAGAGAGGCGGACAAGCAAACACCTTAGCGCAGCTCCCTGTGGCACGTGCTCTGACTAGCGCAAAGAGGGCACCTAACACAGGAGAGGAGTGGGGCAGGCTCACTGGAGTCCATGACACCTGAGCTAGATTTTTTTTTTAAGGTTTGATTTATTTGAGAGAGACAGAGATATCAACAGAGAGCATAAGCGGGAAGGAGAGGGAGAATCAGACTCCTCACTGAGAAGGGAGCCTGATGCAGAACTCGATCCCAGGACCCTGGGACCAGGACCTGGGACACTTAACTGACTGAGCCACCTGGTGCCCCTGAATTACATCTTTAAGGACCAGTAGGATTTCTCCTCAGGAAAGGAAGAAGGAATGAGCATTGCAGGCAGAGGTAAAATATGTGCAAAACCAGGAGATGAGAGAGGGTGATGCAAAGAGTTCAAGAGGGCAGGAAGGTAGTGAGTGAAGGAAGCAGAGCCAGGAGCAGGGGCAGGACACTGGATGGGGTCCTGGAATCCCTGGAATCCAGATAAGGAGACAACTCTTCCTCCTCAAGTGTCAGGCAGCCTCACAAAGGCTGCAAGCCAGGGGAGGGGGTGGTAATGATAAGACTGAGAATCACAATGATGACATTGGGTGGTGCCATCTCCTCCCTTGCTTTAGAGCACAAGCTGAGTCCCCAGAACACAGCTCGTACAGAGCCGCAGCTTTGCATGACAGCTGACACAGAAACTATAGAAGAACAGCTTACAAAGTCGACTCTGCAAATGAGATGTGCCTAAATGGCACAGACACCATCAAAGCGCAAAAAAGACAAATGGAGGGCAATAGTACAGCATACGTGCCCAAGCTTCATATACGAAGATCCCTGACAAAGTAAGATAAAGTCTTTCCCAGTAGAAAATCAATTTTAACCAAAGAAGAAATGCAGACAGATAATACACGTATGAAAAGGTACCCAGTCTCTCTAATGATTAAACAAATGTGAAAGAAAGCAGGGACGTGCTGCGCTCTCCACCACGCACGCATGACCCATGCTAGAGCTGTCGCGCTGCCTACAGGAGGGAACAGGTGCCCTTGTATCGCATTCTCCGTGGGAGAACAGGTGAAGAGATCGTCTTCGAGTTATGATTTTGAGTGTGTGCATGGAAATGTCTAGTGCACATCTCTTTTCACCTAGGAATTTCTCTCCTGGGAATTTTATTTTTGAAGCTGGGCATGTGCAGATGTATGTGCAAGAATACCCACCTCAGGGAGGTTCGTACCAGTGAAGTGATGGAGTAACTTGCATGTTGGTGAGCAAAACACTGAGTGAATAAGCATGGCACACAATGGTCCCAGGACAGTGTGTAGCTGATAAGAGGGATGAGCTAGATCCTGTAGATCTACCTGAAAGATGCCAACGATGCGCCGGGAAGGGAGGAGGTGGGGAGCCCGTTACAAATTCACATGTCAAATACCCGATCCGGTTTATACAAATAGATGCTCTGGGTTTTTAAATGTAGGGAGCAAAATACCCACAAAGAGAAAGGAGGGTGAGCAGATCAAGAGGGCCAGTGAGAAAAAGAAAGAAAGCAAAACAGAAAGAGGAACAGAGAGGAGGAAAGAAGAAAGAGGACTTGGAAAGATATTCGATAAGGTTCATGATCATCTTGAAATGGATAGAAGTTTCTTTCTTCTTCTTTTTTCCCCCATCATCTCCCCCCCCTTTTCTTTTTTTGCTTCCTTGTCCATATTTTCTCATTTGTTAAGGTAACGAATGTTTGTTCTTATTATGGGAAGAAAGACATGAAGCCAACACAAGTAATCTTTATTTTTTATATATATTTTTTATTGAAGTTCGATTTGCCAACATATAGTATAATACTCAGTGTTTACCCTATCAAGTGTCCTCCTCAGTGCCCGTCACCCAGTCACCCCCACCCCCCGCCCATTTCCCCTTCCACTACCCCTTGTTTGTTTCCCAGAGTTAGAAGTCTCTCATGTTTTGTCACCCTCTCTCTTTTTTCCTTCTCATTTTCCTTCCGTTTCTTTCTTTTTTTTAATAATAAATTTATTTTTTATTGGTGTTCAATTTACCAACATACAGAATAACACCCAGTGCTCATCCCATCAAGTGCCCCCCTCAGTGCCCGTCACCCAGTCACCCCTACCCCCCGCCCTCCTCCCCTTCCACCACCCCTGGTTCGTTTCCCAGAGTTAGGAGTCTTTATGTTCTGTCTCCCTTTCTGATATTTCCTACCCATTTCTTCTCCCTTTCCCTCTATTCTCTTTCACTATTATTTATATTCCCCAAATGAATGAGACCATATAATGTTTGTCCTTCTCCGATTGACTTACTTCACTCACCATAATACCCTCCAGTTCCATCCACGTTGAAGCAAATGGTGGGTATTTGTCGTTTCTAATGGCTGAGGAATATTCCATTGTATACATAGACCACATCTTCTTTATCCATTCATCTTTCGATGGACACCGAGGCTCCTTCCACAGTTTGGCTATTGTGGACATTGGTTCCTTTTCCCTATAATCTCTTTCACTATTTCTTATATTCCATGTATGAATGAAACCATATAATGTTTGTCCTCCGATTGACTTACTTCACTCAGCATAATACCCTCCACATCGAAGCAAATAGTGGGTATTCATCCTTTCTGATTCCTGAGTAAGGAATATTCCATTGTGTATATAAATATATACCACAACTTCTTTAAATTTAAGAACCAAACTCCCTGCACCCCCAGCTTACCTACTACCCACCCCAGGATCA